TAGGATTTTTTTTTTTTAATCTCGTTGTGGGGTTCCCCTTTACATTGCTTAAAGGTCTAAATATTGGACCATGCATATGCGGATGGCTTATTACTCGTCCTTTGGACTCGATGTTTAGCCCAGTCCGACATGCACAAGAATCTAGGCTAAGCCTGTGTTTCTGGCCCATAAGTCGGGCTATATGTAGAAAGAGAGCTCTGAGTCTATTTCTTTTTATACTAAAAAGGTTTGTTCTATGATTGAAGTACAAAAAATAAAAAAATAAAGATAAGTAATATTTTGTTCGCTCTCTTTTTTTTTTTTTTTAAAGTGGTACATATATACTGGTGCTTTTCAGTTCTTTTTCCCCTTTATATATGCAGCTATTTTAAAAACACCTGTAATATCTTTTTATAAAAAACATATTTTTCTTTGATACATCTTATTGAAACTCTTTTTATAGTCGTGTTCTAGATTTAAATTCTATAGCGATCACTAGCTAGACATAAGAAGTAGATATTCATTTTATTCCTTCTGCTTCTAATTACGATAGTTAATGGGTGATGATATTCATTCCCAGCATATACCCTGGCCACAAATTAGTGAACACGTCTCTACTTATATAATCTAAACGCACTTAAAAGTTTCAGATATAATCACATAAACCACAAATATCATTAACAATCATGAGTCCCCTGTATAAGTTTCACTTTGAACGGGCTGGTTATACATAGGTTGGAAGGTATATAAATGGGCAATCTTCATAAATATTTTTACAATGGATCAGGATTTTTATTATTCATAACCTTTTTAGTTAAATAATTACACTAACAAAAATATATTTATCAAGAGTAAAAAATAAAAATCCAGACTCATGTACTCTTAAAGATAAATTTTACAATTTTCTCTAGATAAATTCTTATTCAGAATCAAATGTGAAAGTAAGGAAAAAACTTAAACAACTTTTCTTTACGAAAATTAAGTAATAGTCCTAAATTAAAACGACAGTTATTTTATTTTTTATCTTTATTCTTTGGATTGATTATAAAAATTCATCATAAATTATGACCCATGTAACCCTTTAGCCTCTGATCTTCAAAAAGTAAAATATGTTTCCCCAGAACTATGAATCATTAACAAAAATGCTCCTTCTGTCAGTTTTCTAACAGAAAAGTGACTCATATTACATAATTGGGGGCATTTTGATAATCCTACATGTTCTTGAAAAATATTCCTAACTAAAATTAAAACTTTCTGAGTAATTTTTATTTAATTGATTAACTAAGAGAGTTAAATTAAAAATTTTGTTTAATTTTTTTATTTTACTTTAAATTAAGATTAAAATTTATTTTTTTAAGAAATACAAATTTAAAAATCATGGGTACAAAGTAATTGTGCACCATACTGTTTAGCAACAGTCAATATTTGTATGACATGTAGAAGTTCTGTCAGAAACGAAAGGAAATGAGTATTTTTGTTAATAATTCATAGTTCGAGGGAACGAGTGTTACGTTTTTAAGATTAAGAAATAAAATGTTACACGAGTTATAATTCAAGAAAAATTTTTGTAAGTAAACCTAATAAGATTAAATGGTAAATGGTAATTTAAGAAAATTAAATGAACACTCAAAGAACACATTATCTAAAAAAAAAAAAAACAAGAGCATAATAAAGATAATCTCAAAGTAATAAATTGCGTGTGTAATCTTTGCTCTCAAATTGAGGTAATTTATAGTATATTAGGAATAGAGAATTCAATTCTCTTTATCATTAATCTGAGAGTTTGTTTTCTTTTTAATAAGATCATTCACTTCTTGGGTGTTACAATTAATAAATAATTAATATGAATTAAATCTTGACCATTGGCTGCTTTTAATTACCGACCGTTTACACTACATGATGCTGCCTTGTGGCCCCAAAGTTTCGACCTTTAAACCAAACATTAATATTCAGACAGCCACATGCTCGGGGTGCTAAGATGGTCGGTTGTTTCCAATATGCTCGTATGATTGGGTGTTCGAATGCTCTGATGCCTGATTTATTACTGTTTGGATCAAGTCACATGGCAATGTCACGTCACAAATATATTATTGCAAAAAAAAATCCCATTCAACATCAGATATGATAATTAAGACAAAGCCTTTTGGCTAATGCAAAAGAAATTGAAATTTATCATGCTACAGAATTTGAGACCAAACAAATCCACCTTTATTTTTTTTCATTTTCTTTATCTACGTAAAACCTTCCACTCCAAACATGACATACATCTGAGATTGACGTACAAACCAAGCTGGTTAATTCGAAAAACAAAAGCATAAATTCAAGCACACAAACTGGAATACGTGTAGTACATTTCTCTCTTTTTTTCTTTTTTTTTTTTTTTTTTTTTTTTTTTTTTTTTTTCCTACATCTACATTCAAAACGTTTCGGATTTATTTACTAAACACTTATTCTTCTCCATCTCCATCTTTCCAGTTATATATGCTTGAGCATAACATACATAAAGAAGTTTCAACTAATGTACGCAGAACATTCTAGACGTTCACGTCGATGGTGAGACATGCATGCATCTATTTGGTTGTATAGCCTCGTTTCGCGGCGTATCCAACTAGCTTCTCCAACTCTTCCTCGTCAACGAATCCATCTTTGTCCTTGTCGACATGGCGGAGAGCTTGACGAGCTCCCCAACCGGGAGCAGAAGAACCTAAGCTTGAGAATGTAATTTTGAGGTCTTGCCTGCTCAGTCGACCGCCTTCACCGGTGCTGTGACGCATAAACTCGCCTTTCAGTTGTGCTTCGGTGTAGGGTTTCCCTTTCTCTGCCCCAGTGCTACTCATGTAGTGAAGGTCATTGTCAATGTTCTTGGCTTTAACAATACCCATGATATTATAATATTGTTTATGTAAAAAGGGTAATTTGGTGTTTTGTTGGTGATAATTTGGGTGTCCTAAAAGAGAAAATATAGTATACTATAACTTTTAAAAGTTGATTAATAGGCCAGTCCCCTAATTTGGCTCAGTTCGGACGAAGTATTGAGAGGCTTTATATAGAGTATTATATATTGTCGAGATCACCATATTGTTAATGTTGCATTATTCACATCCATTTGATGATTTCAGTCATGAACTCAGATTAAGTATGTAAGGAGTGACGCAAAGTTAGAGAATATGTCTCTAATAATATATTCTTCTTTATTAGTCAAAATGTAGGCACTTTATGGTCAGGCACAGAAATAGCATTTAACTGAAAATTGTAGGAGGGTTGTCCAAATTTAGTGGGTTAACAGGGCACTGCCGATATTCTTGGTCGAGCTAGCTATCTAATTAATGGAAGGGAGGGAATACATGTAGCATCCATAAAAGGAAAGTTAATGCAACAAGAACAATATTCTTTCATATTTTTGTAAGGAATTTGTACTTTTTCTTAATCTCTGTGGGCTAAACTGCTTCGTAGTAGAGAAAGGCAACATATTGAGGGTTAGTGTTTAGTGCGTGACGAGTTGTTTTCAACGGTTCAAGTGCCACATTCAAGTTTTAGGAAATAGTTAATTTTCGTATCTTGCATGTTATTTTCCGTAACGATATTAAAATTTTGTATAGTAACATAAATAATAGAGTTGAAAAAAACACTAGTTAAATTTAAAATTTTCTCTTTAAATATCTCTTTGATACAACATTCTAAACGGCGCTTTTTATAGGTGTGTTCTATACTCTGTCTCAATTGAGGATTAACATTTCAAAAGAAAAGGAAAAAAATAATATATATATATAGGGACTGAATAACAGATTATCCATATGGAAATGATGAAGAAGAACATAAATCGTATCATGCAATGGCCAGAGCAAACACATAATTCATAAATATAATCGTGCCTGATCACCTTATTGGGTTCAGGTCAAGAGGGATCAAAAGGTGATGAGTGTTTAAAAAAAAGAGAATACACGGTTTGCCTTTTTTTTTATAGGTCTATTATTAAGACATTCTAAATAATTGAGTATTATTATGGGCTTTTATTTTCTGTTCATTAATTGTTAAAATATTAAAAATATTGTTGGTCCACTTTTTAATAGCTTAAATTTTTGGAATGAATTGATATCAAAGTAGGAGGTCCTGAGTTTAAACTTCCGTAATTACACTCTTTATTCTCATTTAAATTGTCATCATGTGTTGAGTCTTTAATATATTCACGTGTTAGGTTTTCTAATTAATTTACTCACACGATTGTCTATTGTCCAACCCCACACGTGAGGGGGAGTGTTAAAATATAAAATTATTGTTACCTCACCTCCTAATAGTTTAAACTTTTACGATAGATTGGTAAACTAATATTATTTAAATGACAATAGTTTATTTTGAGTGGAGTGATATAAATAATATATTTTATAACATTTTGAGTGGTATTTTTTTATTTTTCCTTTAAAAATTGGCTAAATTGATCTAACTGCTCATCGAATCACCAATTCATGTGGTTTGGATTGATTTGTTTGAGGAATTGTGCAGAATCTATTGCTCAATCGAATGAAAACGTAGAACAATTGCAATGTATCAAACCGAGTTATTAAGAGCTAATTTTTTGAGCATTTTCACATTTCTTAGTTTCCACAATGTGATTAGTTCAAAATTTCATCTCAGTTTATGTCTTTCCGTATTAATTTGTTCTTTGTCTTCAGAGTTTGAAACACATTTCAAATATTTTTTATTTGAAATTTTTTTAATAATATTGGACTTTTGAGTGCCGTAAATGAGAAAAAAAAAAAAAAAAAAAAAAAAAAAAAAAAAAAGGTAATTTTTTCTTGAACTGAATCCCACAACACGCAACGCAAGTGTTTTGACCCACCTCATTGGGCTCAGTTAGTCCAATCCTTAGGCCCTACGGAAATGGTGAGATTGCACACTATCCCTTTAGTGCGATACTGAAATGGGCCTTCGGCGAAGAGCAAGCGCCCATCTCTAATAACGGATCATACTCGCCAATAAATCGCGTCTTCAGGACTTCAACACTTCTAAACTAAACACTTGGAGCGTGGTTTCTACCTTCCCCAATCGCGAGTCCGCAAGGGACAATACTTTCCCACACAGCTCACTTCCAGTTTCTTCTATCGAAGTCGAAAGCGAACGCTGTTCGACATTGAGAGTTTCCAACATCCATATCAATGGAGTCCCCAAAACCCTGCAGGCCCTCCCCAAACCCTCTGCTATCACTCTCCGCCTTCATCCACCAAAACTGCCTCCGCTTCGGCGCCGAGCTCGCCGGCCGAATCGAAGAGACCAAGCGCTTCGCCGGAGCCCTAGCCGGAAACTTGCCGGCGGTGGTCAATCAGCGTCTGCCTTTCTCTCTTCCTTCTCCCCCTTTCGCTTCGTTGACTCAGCCCAAACCCGCGTCGGCCGCCGCCGCCGCCGCCGCTGCCGCCGCTGCCCTGG